AGAGATCCACCGAGTGTCGTCAGGTGCACATTGCTTGAATGTGACTTTGTACTGCATTGGCTTGTTGCCATACTTGCGGTGCGTGATGACTCGGTCCACTTCCTGATGTCCGTCCATAGAAGGCGGATCCTGTGATCGACGTCCGGGAAACTCGTCAGCTGAAGGTGGCGTGTAGATGGCCAGCTTCGACGCGTGGAAGACCCGATGCATTGTAAGGTGCGGTGGAATGTTGATCACGAAGGAAGGACCTGCGGGGTCGTCTCCAACGACAGAAGTGACTTCCCATGGTCCGAACCATTTTGGAAGGAGTTTGCGCGAAACGTCTGCTCGAGCGCAAATTCCTCGAAGAGGACCCAAACAAGGTATCCCTCGCGGAAAGGACATGGAAGTCGACGTCGGTTAGCTTGCTGTTGCATGCAGATTTGAGCCTTTTGCATATTCGCGCGGGCTTTGATGAGCAAGTCCCAGTACTTCCAAACGGAAGCGGGAGAGCAAGGGACGTCTATGTCGGCAGCCTGTGGCAAAAGGAGATCACCGAAGATCCGTGCTTTCTCTCAACCATGATGTAGCTCGAATGGTGTGACGCAGATCGCCGGGTGCACCGAAGTGTTGTAGGCGAACTCGATGTCGGGAAGCCGGTCAACCCAATCTTTCTGGTCRGGACGGATGAGCGTACGCAACATCATCTGAGCGGTCTGGTGTGCTCGCTCCGTGTGGCCATCCGTCTGCGAGTGTCGAGCCGAGCTCGGCTTCATTGTCGTACCGGACTCAGCCATGAGGGAAGTCCAAAAGGTCGGCATGAAGCGAGTATCTCGGTCACTCACTATGTCTTCCGGAACACCCTGGTTGGTAATCCAACTGGTGTGCAAGAGTCGTGCGAGCTCCGGCGCTGCAGCATGATACTTGCAAGGAAGAAAGCGAGCGTACTTGCTCAAACGGTCAACGACCGTGAGAATACCGTCATGGCCGTGGCGATCGCGGGGGAACGGGCCTGTCACGTCCATAGCAATGGAGAGGCGCGGTGCCCGAGGAATCGGCAACGGTTTCAGTTCGCCGAAGGGGACTCGAGATCGACCCTTGTTACGGTGGCAAACTGCACATGACTCAACGTACCTCGTTACGTCATGAAGAACGTCGGGCCAGTGAAAACGCTGGCGGAGGCGTGCTAATGTGCGGTTCACGCCAAGGTGTGCCGACAGTCGTGCGTCGTGGAATTCGCCGAGGAGACGAGTCCGTAAGATGCGATCTTGGGGCACAACTAACAAGTCCTTTCCTCTCGTGTGAAGGAGAAGGAACCCGTCGGAAATCCGATAGTGGCTAGCCGGCGGGTGATCCGATGAAAGCTCTACATAAAGCGTAGAGTAAGTCGGATCGGACTTGTAGCCTTTGACGAAATGCAGCTGCAGATCGTCATCGAGGTCGAATGCCGTGGTCACAATGGTGCAAAAGTCGGGCCGTCGTGAGAGGGCGTCCGCAGCTCGATTGGCGGGACCGGGAATGTGGCACGGGTCAAAATCAAACTGGTCGATGTAATACATCCATCGACCGATCGTGCTAGTGGCCGTGTCCTGCGTTTTGTAAAAGGTCAACGGATTGTTGTCCGTATTCCATTTAAAACGCCGACGGCCGAGAAGAAAGTGGGGCCACCGTTTGAGAACGATGACGAACGCGAGTAGCTCTTTCTTCCTAGCGTCGTCGAGAGTGTTGACGAGAGGCACCTTTTGGGA